CTGCATGTGCAACTGATCTTTGTGACAATATTGGTCATGATGGTCATGATGATGACGACGATGATGACGAGGCGGTGAAGATGGTTTTGGTTCGAGGTGGGCTGGCGAGCGTGCTGATGATGAGTACTGTGATCGTGATGGTGTTGGCGATCACTTGTTTATGAATATCACTCTTTGGTCTTCTGCCATGTGAGAGCTCAAGCTCGACATGTTTTGCAAAGTACCTTCGTCATCTTGGAGACACCCGGTTTGGCCATTCAGGTGAGCGGTGAGGGATCTGAAGGAGTGGTCAGCGATCACCAGTGAACCCCACCCCATTCCCAGAACACTCCGTAAACTGTAAGCCCTATGATGCCGAGTCCCCAAACCCTCACATTCAGCTTGAGGCAGAGCTGGATGGCTTTTGGCCGGCGGCATACGCTGACCTTTGCACCTTGCCTCCAGCAACCCTCAACTGACCAACTCTGCTTTGAGTCCTATCTTCGCTGAACCCCCTCTCACGCTGCGACTTCTCGCAGCTGTCCTTGGCAGCGAATCATTTCAATAACGGCCATGTTGGGGGGGCCTACGTAGTGAACCTTCCTAGCCGCATCTTGCCGCGAAACAACAGTTGTTGAGGAAAAGATGCTTCAACTTCCAAAAACTTTTGTTTCACTGACACGTAAACAGGCCCCCAACATCCGAAAGGTAGCTCACTTGGGCTTGTCATTCCCGGTTTACTCAGCATCAACCTCCTGCAAGATGGTTCTGAGCCACGTGCTGTATGTATCCAGGTTACCTGCACTTTCCCTCGGACGACAGCCTCCCCTCTTGGAGGGCGTTGGAGCGGCTGCACGACGAGGGCCCGGCAGAATCGGATGCTGCCGAAACTCTGCTGCCGGAGATGACAATGTGATGATATGATTGTTTGTGGCACCTGCGGTGTAATTGTGGCGATTTGCGATGATGGTGCTCGTGCCAGCTGTGACGGGAGTCGTGCCCTGTGGTTACAGCTTTCGTCGTTGTCGTGTCCAGTGCAACGGTTGTCGTCCAGCTTGCTTTCGTCGTAGTGACGCAGTGACGCAGTGTTCCCAAACAGCACTTGGTTGCAGGTCGGTGCCGCCAGCTGGGTCTCAGCAACTTTGGTCAGGACCGGAGCCCCCATCTTCCCCTCTCCTTGGCTTTTTGGGCCTTGCGGCCGTGCCTCGGTTTTCTGTTTCCAGTCTTACAGCGGAATCTCGACTTTGAAACCTTCCTGATACGCGCTATCATGGCCTCGCAGCCCCCTCTCACAAACCAGACATCCGCAGGCTATAGCCTCGATCGAATCTGACTCCCAAGCTGTGCTTCATAGATCCGAAGGCAGTAACCCCTTACCATGTTGAGTTGCTTCCAGAAGTATTGACTTGACGACTTTTGCTGATTCGTTGCTACTGACTAGCCAGGACTAGCCACGGGCCTCAGTGTGGAGGAATTCAGGGTTTATGTCTCGTGTCGGGCTCCCTGTAAGGTGCTTATTTCACTTGTTGATGGACATGGTCCGATACCTGAAACAACCTCAAGCACTCATTCTCCAGCGCCAGCTTCAAGCCTCACCACCGAAAGCAGGGATGGGCCCTCGATGCCAGTAAAGTTGCAAGAGGCACAGATCGAGGAGCTCGTGCGCCAAGCGCGTGTCACGCCTGCTGCCCTGCAGCATCTCGGCTGCAGGGAGGACGCCTAAGGCCTAGCGCTGAATGGCCGCATGGATCTTTCAGCAGCTCAGGGCCGTGATGGGCCAAGGCCTCAATTAGCCAAGGGTAGCAAAATGAACTCCTGACGCCAAAGGCCCCAAGATGTCATCAGATTGTAAGTCAACCGGAAGGAATCAGAAGACACGGCTCTTCCCAGGATCCAATTTTCGGTCTACGAGCCCTGCAGCCCTGCCTTCCTGCGTTGGCTTCGCGGGCAAGGGATAGCTGTGCCCAGATTGCAGAGTGGGTACTTGTTAAGGGTTTTAATTTAAGTTACCATAATAAGGCAACCATATTATTTACTATAGATCCCTCTTATGGCAACTTAAATTAAATCCCTTAACAAGAACCCAGCAGAGTGGGTACTTGTGCTGGGGACCCCCTAAACCCCAACTTGGGGCTCCTCGAGGTGCCGATTTGAAGACTAAACCTCGGGATCAGACCGAGCTTTGAGCTTCAGAGGATGGGTTCCCGACTGTACGACTGGGGTTGCTGAAGCATTGCGGCATCTCCAATGGCATCACGCCTTTCTGTCCATTACGCATGTCTACACTCTTGCCTTTCACGTCCTGCATGCAACCCAGGGTGAGTCGAATCTTGTGTGGCATGCGGGCAGGTTGTGGCGGCCTCATCTCTGAATCCGAATGCGACCTGCAACCTGAACCCGATGCAGGACGCTTGTCCTGTCTTCACAAGCGCAGTGGTAAGTGCTGTTCGTGAGTCCTTGGGCATTTTTGACCAAGGGGTGTGTTCAAACGAAATCTCGAGTGACTCTGGTGGATCCGCCCCTCCCATGCCCAAGGTCATCTCCGTTTCCGGATCCCGAATGTATCTACATCACCAAGTTCGCATCGAATTCTGTAGAGCTTTGCGCACTGGCGGCTAGCGCCTCGAAACGAAGAGACGGGTCCCGAATGTCTCATTATTCGCAGCGGAGCTTTTGTTTGGGAGCTGTGACAGCCTGCACTGTCCCAGGATCCCCACGTCGTCGCGATCGCTTCCAAGCATGGTCGCACCACTGCCCAGGAAGGGTTGAAAATAGCGTTTATGGATGTTTATGGTTTAAGTTTAAGGTTAAGTCAGTTCAAGGGTTAAGAGAAGGGAGTGGTGCCCGACCACTATGGCCTAGGCTGGGTCTGTGGTGACGATCTACTGTTATCCGAATCCTCCAAAATTGATCAAAGCACGAGTCCAAAGCTCTGAACTTTCCTTCGCAGGTCCTTCTCCGCTGGCTGCTACAGCAGGATGTCCCGCGGCCTATTGTGGGTTGAGGGCCGTTTGGGGTCAGGCATTTGGGTTTAGGACCATCTTCTGTAGGGTCCAGGACAGGGACGAGGGCTGAGGAGCTCAAGGTCTTATAAGGCTTTAAAACTTTGAGTTCCCTCAAGTTGAAGCCTCCCCAAGGTCTACACCCAAGCCTACTGTAGAGCTTTTGACTTCGGCCTTAAGCCCGAAGCTGGTGAACCACTGAGACTTGACGAGTTCTTGAATCCGCAAACCCTGAATATCCCTGAAGCCCCGCTCACCAGCATGATGCTAAGCCCAGCCAAGCCTAAATTAGGTGGCTGTTTTGCCCCGCAGCCGCAGCACCGAGCACATTCGCCAAAACAGCGGGAGGACCCAGAATTGTTGGCGTATTCGGGGCTCCGTTTGGGGCCTTGTTAGCACGCAGGGTTTCGGGATTTTCGATTCAGGCTGTTGAGGCAGGCTTTGGGATTTTTGAAGAGCTTGGCTCTTGACACATCCTCATTCGCATCGTTTGTCGGCGCCTCGTCGGCTTCATAAACCGACCCCGTTCAGTCTTTGAGCTGTGTCGAAGGTTGGTGTGCTGGGGCGGCATGTGGACGGGATTTTGGGCGCTCTACCCTGTACAGCCCCCGTCCCAGGTCAGCTCGATTTCACCCTGAGCGATGGAGAGGTGGCAGTTCTCGGGGCTTTGTCTACGCTTCTTCAGAGCCGCCCAGGCGCTCCGGGAACGCTTCCCAGGGTGTTGGGCTAGACTTTCATGTTTGTCTTAGCTGTGAGGCCTTTTAGAGGTTCGAATGTGCTTCAAGCTCTCATGTTGCTAAATACACTTCGTATCTCCAAGGCTTTTCTGAGCATTTTGTGTGGCTTTTAGGATGGGCGTGTTTCCCGGGTACTGGGCGGACATGCTAATTGTCAAGTGCTGCCTAGCTCGAGTCGGCGGGCCCAGTTTTGTTTTAGGGGACTCGGACTTCTTTAAATGACGGTTTATGCTTGGATCCTACATCCTTTACATGCTTCAACCACAAAACCAAGTTCGACCTCCTAGAGGTCCTAGAGTTTGGATGCTGGTGGGGTCGCCGAGCACAGAATGTAGATTGTAGATCAACTCGAGATGCTCTCAAGATCTCTCAGGGAAATCTGTTGTTCTGAAGTTTGCTTTCCTTGAGTTGCTTGTCTTTGCATGGATTTCGCGCCTCGGGCCGCGGGCGCCGTGAGCGATTGTGGACCGAAGAACAGGATGAAGGCCGTGCCCAGCTCCATCGGCTTTCCCCGAGACATCGGGAGTACCAAGATTTACAAGGACTCCGAATCTGGAGGAGATATCGAAGCTCCAGCTCGAGTCTGCAGGCAGTAAATCCTGAAACTGAAATGTCGCCGAGCTCTCAGGACTCAGATCTTAACCCACCTCAGCTTAACACTGAGCGCATCGGAGCCTTCACAATCTGACTGCACTACTATGCACTACTCTCAACATCTCTCCACCCAAGTTCCAGCCGTCTCTGAATACAAGACTAGAAGGCTGGATGATCGTACCCTCAAGTCTTCGAGCGCTGAACTTCCAACCTGCCCTTACACCCGGCGAGGCTTCCTGAGACCAGATGGAGCTGCGGACCTCTTTGGCGTAGCGACTTGAAGTTCCAAACTCCGCGTGCCGTGGGCGCTGCATGTGCCATGGTGGTTTCGTAGAATTTGCCTCCAGGGACATTCAGGGGATTTTAGTGTAAACCCGGGTTCGGCGTTGCCGTGTGTGCTGCAGTTTGGTGCACTTTGGCGCTTGCCCTGTGAAAGACATAATGCAGTTTTGCGCAATGTAGGGAAGAGCACTTATTACCACTACGGTAGAATTTCCACTATCACGACCACTACCTGCTATCTGTGCACGCAGTGGAAATCAACATGCTTCTATTAGCAGTCTTGTCGGGAAGCTTGCCACATGTGAAGGAACACGGTGACGTCCTGGATCGCCGCATGGTTGGCTCAAGCCATCAATATTCGAAACACTCATCGGGTCGGATCTAGTTGCAGTGCTCTTCTGCCCTAATGGTGACGGTTCCAATCTGCACTCCCGCGATGCAATACGGCGCAACCGCCGAGATGCATCCACTGCCAGCCCCCATCCCGCCACAGTCACAACAGCAATGTGCAGCTTAGCTCGGATTCGGGAGCGTCCAACCGCATTGAAGCCCGGGGCAAGGACGCAAACTAAGCGCACCCTGGGGCCTGAAGTTCCAAAGGTTTCAGTCAGTGCTGAACTTGTCGCTTATCCCAAAAGGCGCACGGAGAAGTTCTGCCCAAGGTAGTCGCGATGCTAGTTCCGGCTGGACAGTTCCCATATGCGGCGACACAGCCGTCTATGATGTGCCAGGCGGAGAAGCAGCTTGTCGGAAGGTTGTAGTTGCCGGGGCAGTCGGGTTTATGCTGCGGGATGCTGATTTTCTTATTACTGGACCCTCAAGCGATTCTTAATTCAAGAAGGCTCGCCCCGGTTTAACCCCTACTCAACACGCCTGCTCACACCGTGGCGGCAGCTGCCAACTTTCAACATCCCAAACATGGCACTGTACGATCCAAGCCCAAGAAACAGCACCATCTGCTTGCAGGACCCTCTTTTTGCTTACTTCACGGCTAACCTTATAAAGCTTGTGCTGTTCGAAGCACATCCCCGAACTGAGCAGACCGGCTGAGGTTCGGACCGCAGGTGGCTTTGGGGCCTCCGGTGCCCCAGGAGGGGTTTGGTCAGGGTTTAAGCCTTGTAGTATGATGCAGAAGCAGTGTGTACACCTCGGCAAGTTTTGAGATAGGTTTGCTTAAACTCGACCTGACAAAACTTCCTGAAACACAGGCCCCACATTGCTACCCGAATAACAATTGTTCTGGATGAGGGCACTCCTGGATACCCTTTGCTTGATGGCTTTGGTTCTCCCGAGTTACTTCGTGAGAGGGATTCAGGCCCTTTCAGTTGCAAGGGGTCTCGGTGAGCGCACAGTATAAGATGGTGATGTTTGCGCGATCGACCATGAATCGTGCAGAGGACTGCCTTGGGGTTTCGGAGAATGCCGAGGGCATGGATTTCATCTTACTTGTCTTATGCAGTATCATTAAGTATGAAGACTAAAAGCATTTTCTGACGACTGCATAGCTTTGCATAGCGGTATGAATACCAATACCGGCAGGAAAAAGCGGTACTCATCGCGAATATCGTGACGCAAGCAGCAAGCTTTTCTGTCCGTACTGATGCAACCTGCTATCTGTAACCATCTCTATAACCAGTGTCCTCACCTTAATGTTCGCCGTTGTCAGTATCGTCGCAGCCATCCTCATGCGTATCGTCCTCATCGGGAGCTGTTTTTTTTTTTTTTCTGCTGTTGCTG